CCCACCAGTCTCTAACAATTGGATTTAAAAAATCTAAATATCCAGAAGAACCTGGCCAACACCAACCTTCATAGTCATTACCATCTTTATTTTTTACATAATAACCATAATCACTCGCTTCTTTATGCACATAGTAACCACTGTCTCGTTTAATATGAGGATCAACTAATGTCACCATTTTCCTTCCTTTAGCAGTGATATTATTAAGCATTATTTCAGGTGTGGGAAAATTATATGGATCCCATGTGAAATACCTAATATTAAAAATTTAAATTAAGATGATTACTATTTAAGAATAACTCCAATAAACAGTGTTATCAAGACATGTATTGTCAGATTAAAATTGTATATTATTGTATTTATTATAATTTACATATAGTTCTTAACACATTTTAATTCAATACAGTGAATGCTGCTTATTGTGATTACAGATAATGTTATGTCCTTGGCTTTGTTCTTCATCCTGAAGGGAATGCAAATCTCAATAGAAAAAGAGAGAAATTGCACTCCAAAAGCTAATAAAAATATGCCAAATTTGCAAAATAAAAGATCCTGCAGTAACAACAGTTCTAATTTTCTGTTAATTTTCTTTTATGATCTGGTTTGTTAGTTAAATTTAAATTTTTGACAATATCTGATACATTTTCTTCTTTTTCAAGACAATGCAAAATGAGTATCTTTGATTCTGGAGAAATAAATTGTCTTTTAAACAATTTTTTTTTTACTTTTATTCAACATAATTTAAGATCAGAATTTAATTCATAATAATTATTATTCCAGTNTGTATATGTATATATATATATATATATAATTAGGAAAATTCTCTAAGCCTGCAAATACATGTTCCAGAGAAGAAACATAAAATTATTAATCAGGCAATAGAAAGTGAGAAATTAAGTCATGTGACTTCTTGCCATTTGTTTTTTAATCTCTCTCCTCCTAATACTCTTTCTGTCATTAGCAAAATACATTAATCTGTTTACAGAATGATCAGCAAATACTTATATAACAATATGTATAACTATTTTATACATATCAGATTCAAATTAAAATGCAAGGATTGAAGAAAATTTGATTAACAAAGAAAACAATAGAACATCAGCACTCACCTCTTTATTGACAATAGTGTAATCTGTTACAAAAGTATAAATTTATTAAAATGTTACTTAAATTCTACAAAGTTTATAAAATTATCGAAGTGGAAAAAAATTACAAAATTAAAATTTATTAGAACGAAAATTGAAAAACCTTAAATAGTACAATTTAAACTGCATTTATTTATTTATTTTTTATTTTTTGCACTTAATTTTTAGACTAGTTCACTGACACCTCTCCTTAGACAGAATGTAAAGGATGATTGTGAAGGGATTGGGAATATAACATTTTAAAAATTCCAATTTATATTATACTAAGGCCAAGCTCCTTGTATATTAACAATATAATTTTTAAATTTTAACATTTTGGTATTCTTTACAGATCATCAAAAATAAACAACTTGCAAGTTATTGTAATTAACAACATAATAGCAAAAACTGGCAAGGGGAGGTTGTCCCTTGTAGTTTCTATGAGGGGGCATTTCTCTGAAAAAATGTAGAATTCCCAAACTTTATTCCTGAATATCTATTTATTAATAAATAATCCATAATTAAAGATTACACATTAATTTATTAGGAAATTTTTGTACTCCTACTTAAACATGAAATTTGCCAAATAGAAAATGTTTCATTTATCAAATTGTTGATAGAACTATCTGATAAATTCTTTGTCAGAGATTTAAATTTAACAAAAAGTAATGATTACTATTAATACATGATAATTAATAATTTGTTTTGCCAAGTAGCCAATTTCCAATTGTCTACTAATTAATCAGTGCATCATTAGTGGAAACCAGCCTTAATCATCTCATATACTCCAGATGAAGTGTGGCAGAGAGAATCAATTATACTTAGCTCAATCTGGCAAGATGTATGCTCAACTGACTCCATATTTCTCAAGAAATTTTGTGTGCAAGCTATAGCTGTGGCATGCCACATTAGAAATGAAATAAAATGAGTAATTTATTTTATAGCATAGTCAAATAGATAGCTGAAAGTCTCTTGGTTCAGATCATTTAGATATAAAGCTTATTTCCTAAATAAAGCATATAGCAAAATAAATTTGAATCCAAATCACAATTTTGTGTTCTGATCAACTATTCTAAAGAAAGTAAGACCTATCAGGTTTGGTTAATGGGAGAAAATAAAATCTGTATAACTTAAGATGTTAAGTTCATAAATAAAATGCTATCAGTAAAATATTAACATCTTAATGACAACAATAGATAAGACAAGCAGTCATCAGAATACATCCTCCATGATTGAGATGACAAACCTTCAGAAAATGTAAATCAGAATGAATAAAAAGACACCATCAAAACAGGCATTTATTTCTTTAATGTATAACAGAACATGGTCTATATGTTACTTATCTGTCAACTGTGACATTGTTAACTGCAAACAATTCTGTGTTATAAATACAAACCTGACAGGATGGCAGAGTGTAAGAAAGCCTATTCAATAGCAAAGGAATACAAAGAAAAGGATGTGGACATCAAAAAACCTTTGTGTCTATTATCTGCTTAAGTTCAATTTGAATAATTCTGAATCAAGAAATAGAACTAGGAATAATATTATATCAACTAGACATGAAAAGAGCCTACTTAAATGATATCTTAGAAAACAGATGTACATGAAAATTCTAAATGTCCTGAATGTCCCTCACTAACCAAATTAGTGAGATCTGATAACAAGTTCAGAAAAAAGCAGATAAAACATTAGAACAGCTTAACTGTCTCTTAACCTCTGATAATCTTTGTGAATTAGAAAAGGCACCCTACAAACTTAAGCAGTCCAGTTTTCAGTGGTATAAAAGGTTGTACAACACACTATTATTCCTAGAACTAAATGCCACAAATCAAGATGTTAAAAAAGGAGCAGTATCATCATATTGGTAGGAATGTATGTTGATGACCTAATAACAGAATCAAATAACATAAAATGGGTTGAAGATATCAAAAAACAAAATTATAAATAAATTTTTAATGAAGGATCATTAACTATTATGTAGGGATTGAATTTATTTGTAGCAGAGATAAATCAGAAAGCCATCATTCACAAAGGAATTGTGTTAAAGAGCTATTATATAAATATAATGTTAATAATTTTGATGAATTTTTACATCTTGATCTCACTGATTTTAAATTTAAATGTAAAAAAGCACTGTATATCTTTTAAGATTTGTTACATGTTTCTATTTATTTTTTTTTTAATTTGTTTCTTTTTGTTTTAAGGAGTGTCATTTGTTTTTATAGTATGTTATTGTAGGGCAAAAATCAAATGTCTATCAAGACTTTTCCTCTTAATGTACTGAAATAAATAATATGTTAAATTGCAAATTGATAGCAACACCTTTGAAGCTGGAACTAAATTAACAAAACCAAAAGAAGTTTCAGAAGAGAAGAAATTTCCATTTAAATTGCTTATAGGATCCCTCATGTATCTAATTACAGCCACACAACCCAATTCTGTTAAGTTAGTGCACTTTAACTATAACACTGGAGAGCAGCCAAGAAGGCCTTATGTTAGTTGTATGGAATTATGAATTATAGTCTAACATTCAAGAAAAATGCAAAACCAGTCAAAGGTTTCTTAAATGTTGACTGCAGAATTATATGACTGATAGTTCATATTCTGGATGGCTATTTAAATTGGGCAGAGCAGCTATATCATGGAAAACATGAAAATAGCACACTGTTGCTCTGTCCAGCATCAAAGCAGAATGCACAGAATAAACCATGTACAGTACCTAAAAGAAATCTTCAATGAATTAGGAATTGGTTTACTTCCTGCTTCCCTAATTCACTGAGGATTCCTTGTAGGTACATGGTTTATGTCAAAGTTGTGTATTATTGTTAACAACAACAGTCAAGGTGCACAACAATCCAGCAACTCCATGATATATGGAGTTGCTAGCTAACATTTTGTGACCACATGAGGCACATTCACATCAGACACCATAAGGATTTCTGTACAGGGATATAAAGTGATCAAATATTTGCCAATGAATGAGATGGCAGCTAATGTGTTTATAAAAAAATTCCCAAAACTGAATCATCAGTTTTGTTTCACCCAGATCAGACTCAATAAAGATTGTAAACCAATGAGTTTGTTTGAGGAAGGCATTAGAATTACAAACTTGTCATAGAAATAGATGGCACACCATACATGCTTACCCACAAACATCTGAATCCTAGCAAAAAAAAAAAAAAAAGTTTCAGGCTGAGAGACAAGCCAGGTATGTACATATTCTTATATGTCATGGTCTGAAGTAAATTTGAATCATCTTTAAGGGTATTGAAAAAATGATAGTCCAATGGAATGAACTGCGAGATGATCCAGTACCACAGTTATCCTGCTGTGAGACAGTGCATGCAATATATGTCCTTACACTACTATTAGGATGGTTGAAACTCTTCAAAAGCTGAAGTTTGGATCATCCAGCTCACAGTCCTGATTTCGATCCCCCAGATTTCATCTTTTCAACCCTCTTAAAAGGTGTTATATGAAGTCAACACTTTCTTTCAGATCCTGAAATGCAAGAAAGCAATGCATATCTGGCTTGTCTCCAGCCTGAAACTTTCTTTTCTTTTAGGATTAAGAAGCTTATGTACAGATGGAGCAAGTGTGTTGAGAAGCTAGTGTGTTAAAAAAATGATGTAAAGATTTGTTTCACAAGTAATTTGTAATAAAGTTTACGAGAACATTGCAGTTAATTTCTGATTCACTCTCATATTTATGTATACCAAATCTGTTATATATTTAAATGTCTAAGAGTCCATTTAATTCATAAAATAACTATATTATTGACCAAGATAACAGTTATATTATATTATTATATATTATACTTATTATAACATATCTACATTTGTACACCCAATAAAGATTTAAATACACAATACTTACTTCGATGATATTACATTTTTGTTAAAATTTAGAGAAAGCAATAAATAATCTCCTTCTTTATAATGAAAACTATCTCCTTCATCAACAAATAAAGTGCCATTTGCTGACTGACCCTAAAATAATAATAAATATGTATTTAAATATTAAATTGTTCTTTTGATTATGTAAAAATACTGATTTTAGTTTGCTTACTGATTTATCAAGTGCAACAACAAAAGTGTAAGGATCTTGATGAGAGAGAGAAGAGCTTCTGCGTATTCTTTCTTTTTTTGGAATAATAGTTCCACCTCGTTGAAATACTGGAATCTTTTATTTTGTAAAAGTAAAAAACAATTTTAAAATTCTTACCACCTTATATCCAAATATTAGTAGTGATAGCCATATAATTTGGAAGATTTATATCATGCTAATCATAAAATTCGATGTACACTAGGAAACAAACTGATAAAATTTACCTTACTAAGGCTAACAGGGAAGGATAATTGTTGAGAACCATCATATTTTTGATATGTATCAATGTCATACCATATCTGTAAAAAAATTTATTTAACAAATAAAATGTAAACTGTTTAAAAACTTGTATAAAAACTTTTTAATAACAAGAAAAAAAACAAACCTCATTTTTTCCAGGGAAGTAAACATTTACACTGCTAACGCCAGCGTCTAATACTGGACGGACAAGCAATGCCGAGCCCACCATATATTCATCGTCTAAATCAAATGTCTCTTTTTCTTTAGGAAATTCCATCCAGATGGGCCTCATTGGTGGAATTCCTGTTTGTTCGTTCTGATAAAATAATGTATACCAAAATGGAAGATAAGAGTAACGTTTTCTTATAGCTTCTCTTATAAGCATTTTAATTTCTTGATCAAATAACCATGGCTCTCTTCTTCTTGTATCATGATGAGAATGTGATCGGAAGAATGGTTGAAATGCTCCAGCCTAATAAAAGTAAATATCTTTCAGTAATATAAAAAGTTTATAGTTTTCTTAATATATAGCATGTCCTGTTTTTTATAGTATATTAATTAAGTAAAATTATATAAAATATAATATGTTGTAAATTATAAAATAAAATACATTTTAAGAAATCAACATCCAAGTTCTAAAATTTTGATCACTTCTAAGTTATTACAGTAACCCTCAATTTCCATCAAATAACATATCAATGGCCGAAATGTAAGAAAAAATTTTATTCACTCCCATATCATTTGATGCTTTCTGGCTATAGATACTTTGAACTTGAATGACTATATATACTAGACAGATTTAAGATAAATGGAATAAATATATAAGATTAAGGTAGAATATTTAGTCCAGCATATGGACTAGGTTTCATATTATTTATATATATAAGATTTATATTTTAAATGAAATGTATTAACAGCTAGCATTTTAGTTTTATGAATTAAATTTAGTTACTTTTTAAACTTATGACTATTTTAATGTTCGTCTGTTGACAGATTTTAACAAATAGTTAATGTTGCTGTGAAGTAGTTTCCTGTTAAGCCTTTAGCTTTAATCATATAATCCATACTACCAAAAAATGATTTTGTGACTTTTAAGAATTCACAAAATCTGGTTTATTAAGGAAACTGGCATATTGTGAATATATCTCATATTTGCTATCATTTTTGATTAAAATTGCAACTGTCTTTTTCAAAAAAAAAAAAAAAAAAAAAAAAAAAAAAAAAAAAAAAAAAAAAAAAAAAAAAAAAAAAAAAAAAAAAAAAAAAAAAAAAAAAAAAAAAAAAAAAAAAAAAAAAAAAAAAAAAAAAAAAAAAAAAAAAAAAAAAAAAAAAAAAAAAAAAAAAAAAAAAAAAAAAAAAAAAAAAAAAAAAAAAAAAAAAAAAAAAAAAAAAAAAAANATGTTTTAGTCTATCTTAAATATTAATATTAAAAGACAATTTTTGCACAATTTTTAATTATAAAATTTTGTGTTCCATTTATTTATGTAAATTATAAATGCATAAGTATGAAATATGAGTAATATCGACTTTGCCAAGCAAAATTGATATTGCCTATGACATTCATGATGTTAATTTTTCTCAAAATTGCACCAAACAAACATAGATTTAAGGAAAGTATAGCACTACGACAAATTGACACCTTTTGCTGATTGGTTCGTGTTTGGGAATAACCATATTATATATGAATCAATGTAAATTTTGAGCTTTTTTTAAGTCTTCAAGCAGACCATGTTATATTGAATCAGCGTTAAACAAGGTTTTACTATATATATATATATATATATAAGATCAGAATTTCAAAGTGCTGCAGAACTGTTTCTACTAATGCCTCTCTGATACTAGCAGAGCTCCTTCCTTTGCCACTAGGTATTGAAGAAAAGATTCTAAACTACATCAGAACTACTAACATCAAGGCTCAACAACGTCTCTACTCCTATCTACAATTGTTCATATGCTACCGCATTGCAATTACCCTAATATCTCTGATCATCACCCTGTAAACAAGGTTATCCCCAGGGTACTGTACATTCAGTGTCATCTGCTTCCTCCATGAATAACCATGCTGACATTAATATCTACACAGATGGGTCCAAAAGCCCCCTTCATGTCGGCTCAAGTGTCTGTATCTTTCTCCAAGCTGACATATTTTGCCCAAAATATGTTAAAAGGTACAGATACCCCCCCCACATACCTCCATCTATCAAGCTGAAGATGATGTTGTCTACCAAGCAGTTCAGTGGGCCACTTCACTACCAAACAAATCTTTGTCTATCATCATTTACAGTGATTCTCAGTCTGTCCTAAAAGCACTATTAAATCTCAATTGCAACAGCAATAAAATCACATATATTCAGTGCCATATAAAAAATCTTGTAAATAAAATAACTTTTATATTTGTTCCTGGCCATTCCTGGCATACTAGGAAATGAAAAAGCTGACTTTGAGGCTAAGTCAGTTGCAAAAGACACTGACTTGGACTACACTCACATCCCTCTCTCATGTAGCAACCTTAAAAATTATATTCATGACAATGCTATGCAAAAGTGGAATCAACAATGGTTGAGCAGTAAAACTGGTAGAATAACAAGACTTTATTTTCCTAGTGTTGAATGCAGACTCTCATCACCACTTAGAGATTTAACATTTGCTACTGCTCAACTACTTACTGAGCATGGTAATTTTAGAAGCTACCTGGCGATGTATAACCGGGCAGAAACTGCCTTTTGCTTTTGCTCTACAGAAAATCTAGACACTGTCGACCATATGATCCATCATTGTCCAATTTACGATCAAGACAGACTTATTTTGAAATTAGAAATCTTTATGCTTGGTTTCAGGTGGCCATGTCCACTTGATAAGCTTGTTCAGAAGCCATTGTTTGATGCCTTTTACAATTATGTTCGAAAAATATGGAAGAAAAGACTTTATAATTTCTAATTTCTTGTTTTACATTTTAGTTTTCAATAAAAGCCTAATACTAATTTTATGTTTACTTTGTATCGTGTATTTTGATTTATATATTCTTAGTGTTATACTCCCATAGGAGTGGTGCACTTTTTCTAATAAAAAAAAAAAATACTTGAAGATTTCAAATAAGTTCAATAAATATTTTAAATTATGATAAATGTACTTTGATTTAAATTTTTGAATGCATTATTTTTAGTATCCACTTTCTATCAATGTAATTTAAATCAAAGAAATTTAACACAACTTTATATATATACTATATATATATATATATATATGCATTTTAACTGTATATTTGTAACTACTTAAGATCAGCTTTACATCACTAACCTGATACCATCGTAATGTCAATTCTGCAGAAGGATTTCTGTAAAATCCACCAACGTCAGCTCCACAGAAAGACATACCGGTTATACTCAAAGATAAAAGCATAGGAACTGTAATACGTAGATGACCCCAATCTGCATCATTATCACCTGTCCATACAGCACCTTTAAGGGAAAAAAATACAATGTTAAAAATTTTTAAATTACCATTTGAATTATTTTTAATTAATAAATTCTGTTTTGAATTAAAATCACTAACCAAATCTTTGCGATCCAGCAAAAAATGACCTTGATAATATGAATGGTCTTTGTTGTCCTTTGGACCTCATTAGATGTCCTTTATATGTACCCATCACCATTAACATACCATAAATATTATGGACATCACGATGTTCCCAGCCACCGAAGTGTTTACAATCTTTTGGCATGGTAATCTCTGGCTCACTAAATACAGATGGCTCATTCATGTCATTCCAAGTATATAATGATAGAGTAGAGCCTTTATATTGTTCTAATAAATATTTTTCGGCCCACCAGTCTCTAACAATTGGATTTAAAAAATCTAAATATCCAGAAGAACCTGGCCAACACCAACCTTCATAGTCATTACCATCTTTATTTTTTACATAATAACCATAATCACTCGCTTCTTTATGCACATAGTAACCACTGTCTCGTTTAATATGAGGATCAACTAATGTCACCATTTTCCTTCCTTTAGCAGTGATATTATTAAGCATTATTTCAGGTGTGGGAAAATTATATGGATCCCATGTGAAATACCTAATATTAAAAATTTAAATTAAGATGATTACTATTTAAGAATAACTCCAATAAACAGTGTTATCAAGACATGTATTGTCAGATTAAAATTGTATATTATTGTATTTATTATAATTTACATATAGTTCTTAACACATTTTAATTCAATACAGTGAATGCTGCTTATTGTGATTACAGATAATGTTATGTCCTTGGCTTTGTTCTTCATCCTGAAGGGAATGCAAATCTCAATAGAAAAAGAGAGAAATTGCACTCCAAAAGCTAATAAAAATATGCCAAATTTGCAAAATAAAAGATCCTGCAGTAACAACAGTTCTAATTTTCTGTTAATTTTCTTTTATGATCTGGTTTGTTAGTTAAATTTAAATTTTTGACAATATCTGATACATTTTCTTCTTTTTCAAGACAATGCAAAATGAGTATCTTTGATTCTGGAGAAATAAATTGTCTTTTAAACAATTTTTTTTTTACTTTTATTCAACATAATTTAAGATCAGAATTTAATTCATAATAATTATTATTCCAGTATAAAATTCTTAAGAAAAAGTTTAGTGATACATATCCAAAAAAAAATAATAACTGATTAAATAAAACTCAAAATAAGTTTAATAAAATCTTAAAAGTCACAGATTGCATGCTTTGAGCCATAATATTTAATAATAATCTATAAATAACATAAATAGCACAGAACCTAATGCAGAAATCTAATAAAATAGTGTTGAAATTTCTCAATATTTTTTTATTGTTTCTAATGATTGGTGAATCAACAGCAGCTCAACAAATCAAAAGTAACATGTTATAAAGAATTTGCAGCAAATCTTTCATAGTGTTAAAGTAAATCATGCTATCAAAGTTCTGTTATAGGAATGTTACCTGTAAGAGTGCTTAAATTTTGAATTTAAAAGATTTTAATATCCAACTTATTTTTATTTATAAGCCAATATTAAAATGCAACTCTCCTATAAGCAAATAAAAATAATGTACAAATGTGTTTTGCTTTTTTAAAGTAAGTTTATAAACATTTACAATTTTATTGTAAATTTTCTTTTCATACAATAAAACTCTGATTCTCTAAGGTGGAAAATAAATGTTGGAGGTCACAAACATAGTACAATAAGAATCATCTTATCTGAATTCTTTTCTTGAAATCTGATTAATTTAATTTGCATTCACTACACTTTCATCTTTTCTCAAATAATGTGAATCTATATCCAATTAACAACATATAAAAAATCATTTAATGTCAATGTAAACAAGCTTGATCTGTTTATTCACCATTTTAAATTTATACAGCATCATTTGTAGTTTGCTAGCATCACAAATACCATATGAATTAATGTAAAATTCAGCCATTACTTGTGTATTGGTTATTCTGCCAATGAAAATTGTTGTAATTATTGAATATTCTTTCAATCAGTTAATACTACAATCTCAATTATATTCAAAAACCATCACAATAAACAACAGTGACTGTATCTGGATTATCTAAAACAAATGAAAAATTTATTTATTTATGTTTAATATTTTCCATAGTTTTTTTCTGAATGTAATACTGAAATTTAATTACATATTCAAAGTGAGATCTTAGAAAAAACAGCAACATATGTAATAGGAAATGGGAGCAATTTCTAACTTTTCATATATTCAGAAGTCAGAAATTAATGATTAAATTTAAATAAAATATCTAATATATAAAACTTTTCGAGGAAAACATTTAAAAAATGAATAAATAAAAATATGCATTTCATATTAACAAAACTAATTAAATGTTATATTTTTAAAATTATTTTAATATTTGATAATAATACAAATTCTACTCTTGCCTTCTTCCATCTGTATGATCAACATCTAGCCAAATAACATCATATGGAATATCATTTTCATCAAATCCAGAATCGACATTTCTCACATCATCTTGATCTTTATAATTCCATCGACATTGATGATACGCAAGTGAAAAATACTAGAAAATTTTTTGTATTTGATCATTATTTTGTTTATTTAATATAATAAAAATACATTAAATAAAACAATTTTTAACTATTATCAAACACTACTATTGGAATATTTGAAATTTTCTCTAAAATCATAAAATAAAATTTTAAAAAGAAACTAACTAATAATAATAATAATCTTAAACATACAAAAGTTTTATGAAATATCATGTTGTTATTCTTTTAAATCTGTTTCTTCTGTTCAGAATAATATTTTACAGTTTATCAGAACTTATTTCATATTCATATGCATTATGTAAAAATCACATAAAACAGCAAAAAATTCTGTACTTTAACATAAATAATAAAAAATAAAAGTGAAATATAAAAGTAAATTATTTAGTTTCTAGTATAGTTTCACTTTTAATATTTTTTGAAAAAATTTCAGAAGCCCCAAGAAATATTGCATTCTGAAAATTATTATTAAATCTACTTAATTTGACTTTTCTCTCATGAATTTCTGTTCCTTAATAGGACTTATGTATAAGTACAAGAAATAAAAATACCAAAAGTTATACTTTAATTGTTTTCTTTTGGAGTGATACAAAATCAAAAGTTTTTGTTTTAAACTACTTACCGCAGGTAATGGTGTTGTACCAGTCAAGCGTGCATACTGTCTTACAACATTTTTAGGATGAGGCCCCAAGAGCAAATAAACATCGATAATACCACTTTCAGAAAACCAATGTGTACTAGTTTGTGGCATCTGAGAATTTCCTTTCACAAAATCAACAATAGATGATACAACACTCTAAATATATATATATAAAAAAAAATAATCAAAATGATATTCATGATATTTTGAATTATTGTGGTTATTATTTACCTGTTTGGATGTGGATACAACATCTACCCAAGTTTCAGCTGCATTCAACCACAATAGACCAACAGTCTGAGTTTCACTATAATATTAATTATTAGTATTTTTACAACACCAAACTTTTTAGTAGTATTAATTATATCAAAATCCCATCTGATAATTATTATAGTTTAAATTTTTTAACAGAATCTTTATTTACTGTTTGAAATTTAATCAATAATTATCACAATGATTAGGCAAATACAGTGGAATATGCTAGAATGAACATAATTGGTTCTAGAACCTTGTTCTTTGCAGCATCTGTTTATTCTAGCATACATTGAAATATATGTAACTTAGAAACAATCTGTTCTAGACCCACAATCTAAATCAAAGTTACCATCCAATACAACCATTAAAACAGGAAAATGTAAGTATAAAAATAATATAAAATTAATTACTTTAACTTTTATACACTGTACATGCAAATTTGAAAAGCATAAACAATATTTCTTTAATGAAAACTGTGAACAAACTTTAATAAAAAGGATACATAATCTAATATACACGAAAAGCATATAACTGAATCTGACAAATGACAACAATGATGATGACTGATGCCCTAATCAAAGTGAGAAAACTTTATTATGTCATGTGCACACATGTGCTATGTTGACCAATAGTATTCTTCCCTATTTGTTGTATCATTTATGTTCATAGTAACATTTTGATTTTGTAGATAAAAACTGTTCATAAGTTAATAAGCTATCAGACATATAGTTTAAGTATTAATAATAATCTAATCTAGAACTGTACACCCTGGTTGACATCATCATGGATATGGAATCTGCATAATGTAGTGTGATTAACTAAAGAATTAATACAATAAATAAAATAGTGTGTGTACTAATTAACTAGTTCAGTTATTATAAAATATTTATGCATAAAGATAGCTTCCATATAAAAATTTCACATATAAAACAATTGTAATTCTGATAAAATAAAGCATAAAATGTAACGAACCTATGTGCAACCATAAAGGGAATTGAACCATAAAGAGCCATGGGATTATTCAATTCATATTCAGCAACATCAAGGTTGTAAAGACGAAAAGGATCTGTTGATCCTCTACAAATTAAAAGAAAAATATGATTAAAATAATAGTTATATAATTGTAATGTTTCAAAAATTAAAGCCTCCAACTTACACTGTTGTCCTTAATGAAAATTTATCTGCATGTTCGGGAATACCATAAACATGCTCAAACCCAACAAAAGAGAAATCCATTCCAACAGAAGAAGGCCCTTGAAACAGAACAAATGTTAATAAAAAATATTGTTTTNCTTTAAAAACTCTTTTCATTTTAAACATTTGTTCCTTCTAACCATACTTAATATTCTACTACGAACAGATGCACACATACTTGTAAATAAAATTATTTATTTAAAAGTTATTATTATTAGTTTTTCTCGGGGTTTTTTTTCTGGTACAACGAAAAAGTCTCTAAACCCTTTTAGAAAATTACCATCTGTTGAATTATCATCCATCTGAAGGCTTTAAAATCCATATTTCAATGCAACTATTGGAAATAGTGTTAGAAAAGGCAACTTTTTAGCAGAATGCACATAAATAAAAAGGGAAAGTTTTGTGTGTCGTGCCTTGGGAGACATTAAATGATGCCACACACACGTGGGAATTACCTGATATTGTGTCTCCGTGCTAACATTTCAATCTCGTCGCTCGTACAGATTTACAAACTTTCTCCCATTTTGTAAGTCCTTGTAAACTTCCTTGTGCAACAACACCGTAAACCTTACAGTTTATCTTCGCTACGAAACTTTAAAACTTGATTTTTTTTTGGTTTAATGTCTGTTTTGCGAATGAAACCATTTCTTATTCTTCCGTTTTATTCTTGCTATACAATCTATTTATTATGGTCGATAAAAATCATTTTATTACAAAAATAAACTTACCGAAATACTGTTAGATACATAAATATTAAAATAAAATAAAATATTTATATTATTGTCGAAAAATAAACATTTAATTCGTTGTTAATATAATCGATAATGTAAAATGTATCGCTTATTGGAAATATAGTTTCGATTGTGGGCGTGGTTAAGATCAAATGTAAAAGCAAAATTTTCGCCGTAGCCACGCCCATAATTTTAAAAATTATGAATAAATTATGCAAAATTATAATTTTTAATAATAAAAACAGTAACAACCATGTGGCTTAGAATCCGTTTTTCCCTTGAAAGTTTCTTCCCACCAAGCGTCTGGTGTTTCTTCTTCTTGAAGTGGCTGCTCAACCTAATTAAAATTTATGGATATTTTTCATAATTTATTTCCAATTAATATTGAAAAAACTGTTTTAAAATATATTTCACTTACATTATTTTCAGATTCTTCTCCTTCATTTTTAACTTGTTTACTAAAATAAAAAAAATGATAAAATTTACAATTTCAATAAAAAGTTAGTCAAAACAATCATTTTTCAAGAATTAAAAACTTGGGTAAGAAAGTTAAAATAAATGTAATAACAAGTAAATATAGAAAACTGCTTTGTTTATTAGCAATTTCAGCAATTGCTAATAAACAAAGTTTCATATAAAAATTCAAATTTGCAATTCTCAATCTTTTAGAAACTATAACTCCTCTCCTCATATAATAGAAGACATTAACCAGAAATTTACTTTTCAATCTCACAAATATCACCCCATTGTATGGGAAACATTAGTACAGTTAATATAAATGCTATTTTTATTTTATTTTATGTCAATTAAAAATAGTTCTGAATATAACAGATTTTGTAAATATTTCATAATTACTTTAACAAATAACAATATCTTCGTGATAGCATTGTGATATGAGAAATTAAATTGTGAACTTCACAATTACAAATATTATTGATGTTTGCATATCGCATTTAAGTTTTAATTTTATTTTATTAAAATGATATATTTCAACTATATTAATCAACTCTAAATATATAAANATATATATATATATATATATAAGATCAGAATTTCAAAGTGCTGCAGAACTGTTTCTACTAATGCCTCTCTGATACTAGCAGAGCTCCTTCCTTTGCCACTAGGTATTGAAGAAAAGATTCTAAACTACATCAGAACTACTAACATCAAGGCTCAACAACGTCTCTACTCCTATCTACAATTGTTCATATGCTACCGCATTGCAATTACCCTAATATCTCTGATCATCACCCTGTAAACAAGGTTATCCCCAGGGTACTGTACATTCAGTGTCATCTGCTTCCTCCATGAATAACCATGCTGACATTAATATCTACACAGATGGGTCCAAAAGCCCCCTTCATGTCGGCTCAAGTGTCTGTATCTTTCTCCAAGCTGACATATTTTGCCCAAAATATGTTAAAAGGTACAGATACCCCCCCCACATACCTCCATCTATCAAGCTGAAGATGATGTTGTCTACCAAGCAGTTCAGTGGGCCACTTCACTACCAAACAAATCTTTGTCTATCATCATTTACAGTGATTCTCAGTCTGTCCTAAAAGCACTATTAAATCTCAATTGCAACAGCAATAAAATCACATATATTCAGTGCCATATAAAAAATCTTGTAAATAAAATAACTTTTATATTTGTTCCTGGCCATTCCTGGCATACTAGGAAATGAAAAAGCTGACTTTGAGGCTAAGTCAGTTGCAAAAGACACTGACTTGGACTACACTCACATCCCTCTCTCATGTAGCAACCTTAAAAATTATATTCATGACAATGCTATGCAAAAGTGGAATCAACAATGGTTGAGCAGTAAAACTGGTAGAATAACAAGACTTTATTTTCCTAGTGTTGAATGCAGACTCTCATCACCACTTAGAGATTTAACATTTGCTACTGCTCAACTACTTACTGAGCATGGTAATTTTAGAAGCTACCTGGCGATGTATAACCGGGCAGAAACTGCCTTTTGCTTTTGCTCTACAGAAAATCTAGACACTGTCGACCATATGATCCATCATTGTCCAATTTACGATCAAGACAGACTTATTTTGAAATTAGAAATCTTTATGCTTGGTTTCAGGTGGCCATGTCCACTTGATAAGCTTGTTCAGAAGCCATTGTTTGATGCCTTTTACAATTATGTTCGAAAAATATGGAAGAAAAGACTTTATAATTTCTAATTTCTTGTTTTACATTTTAGTTTTCAATAAAAGCCTAATACTAATTTTATGTTTACTTTGTATCGTGTATTTTGATTTATATATTCTTAGTGTTATACTCCCATAGGAGTGGTGCACTTTTTCTAATAAAAAAAAAAAATACTTGAAGATTTCAAATAAGTTCAATAAATATTTTAAATTATGATAAATGTNTTATTTCCCACGGAGTTTGTTCCTTGTTGAGTCGAATCCAGCTAGTCAGCGATGTGTCACCCGGAACTTTCGATGGAGTGCCTATATTGGACGCCAGACCGTTAACGGCAACCACCTGACCTCATGGAAAAACCCAAGAGGAATAACAAGAGAAAAGAAAAAAGACCCCGAGGTCAGTCGTCATCCAAAGTCCCTCTATAAAAGTCGTCTTCAAAAAGTCCGCCCAACAAAGTCATGATCCAGAATTAAAATCGTCCTCCAGGATTAATGCCGTGAAAAAAATCATGCCTGATTAAGCCTCTACACTCCACCGTGCCTCCACACCAGTGAACGGACAAGATTCGGAACTAGTGGAAAGAACAGTCCATCGGCAAGGTATTTATCAACCCGTGATTCGTTTGTAAACTCTCTCTCTCGACGGGCCTCTCTTAAATAGGGGAACTATGACCGAAATTGACTCTTTCTGTATTTCCTTTAGTTTCATTAAAATTGTTAATTGTTAGCAACCATGGAATCCGATTAATTTACTTCCTCGTCTCTCTCCTCACCTCTACTCCAAACCCAATCACTCACCCGCTACCGCTCGCGTGACGTAACGTCGCGATTTCCGAGTCCCCCAGAGACTCGGTGGTGTCAGATTTAGGTCTCCTGACGTGGTGTCAACGAGACACCGACCCTACGGTCACAATATAAATAAACTGCAGGTAAACAACATGTCTGGTAAGAACCTCACAGGTTTCCAGATAGATTTTATGAAAAGTAAAGCAGAATTCCTTGAAATGTAGCCAAATTATTTTTAAAGTAGACCAAAGAGTAGTAAGTCATTCAAATGCAATAGACTAGAGCTTACAAATATCTCAATCTGTTACTCACAGCCCAATCTTGAAATCCCAAAACACAGCCATGTTTTACAAGATAAGAGGAAAAAAAAATAGTAGTCCATGGGTAAGGTGACACCAAAAATGTGTTACTGTAAAATTAAAGCCATATGAACCAGATTAGAGTTGTTCTTGGTCTATTGTTGTCTTATAGCATGGTCACATGGAGGCACTTTGATCTAAACAAATTAATTGACACATGCATATCACAGTTCAAACAGAATTTTCATTTTAAATTTCGAAGTAGCTGTATTTCAAACTAACCAAATTCCTTAACATGTAAATCTCTATATCCCCAGCCAGGATAAAAGTACATCATCTAAATACTTTCTAAAGTTTACCTTAGTTTAGTTTAGAAAAATTAATAATTTACATTATGAGGATGATACATTCATTAATTAATAAACATCAAGCTTAAGAATGGAAAGTGATTGGGAAATCTAGAATTGATCTTTCGAAAGAAACCTGAAAATTCTCCATTTATATGTAGATATGCATGCTTTTATTGTGTAGTAGAAAATATTGATAAATTTGTAATCTTAGTGCAGATACAGTTAATATTGCAACACTAACCTCAAACAAATTACAGCAAAATTTCCTTTTACTCAAAAAGAAACCTCACTGAAACCTAAAATGCTACAGAAAATTTTTTCCAGCTAAAACCCTAATGTACTATATATTTATTTTTTTTTCAGAATTAAAAAAAGTAAATTTTCTTCAAAAGCATTAAATATTAAGAAGTTAATAAAAGTAATGAATTTCTCAAAAATAGCATTTTACTTACCCTTGATCCTTAAGTCTGTGATGTTCAAATCTCATCAAACCACGAGGATTTACACTAATTACTAGCTGATCATTAGTATACACATCTATACGAAATGGATTAGCTGTTACAACAGCTTTATTATTACCAAATGTTGCAGTAATTCCTTCAGAATCTTGATTTGTTATCTGTAAGCTAAAAATAAACAATTAAATTTATAAATCATTATGACTTAACTATGACTTACAACTGATGCATGACAAATTGAGATCTTCATTTATTCATTAGTTGATACTGAGAGAAAATTCTCTAAGTAAGAAAACAAATATATATATATATAAGAATTTTTCACATAGTGAGGAAATTTTTTCTTAAAATCATATCATCATCATTTATTGTTCAAATTTGACAACTATATTTTATTAATCAATTATACATAGGCTGTTCAGAAATAAACCTCTTATTGGCTGGTATAAACATGTGGTTGACTGCAGCACCACAGATGCTTGGGCAGAAATAAGCTGTCATGTGTTGGCTTATGAAACCTCACACAATTGGTTACTGCATTTAGTGCAGTGTTTCTCAACGGGGGCGATATTGCCCCCATGTGGGTATTTTTCCATGTTGAGGGGGTAATTAGTAACAATTTATATTTTGGGAGGCAAAAAACAATTTTCTGGGCGATATAGTAAAACATTATATTAAGAATAATTAGATATTTTATTCGTTATATCGTACAATAATTAAACAAATAACATTACACTAGTCACTAGTCTATTCAATGCAGTACAAATTTGCGTTAGCCTTGGCCCTCGGCATCGGAATTTTGAAGTGAAGGGGGCGATACTACGTAATGGTTTTATTGAAGGGGCGACGATTCGTCAGAGAGACACTGAGAAACACTGATTTAGTGCATGGTCTGTAATGAGTGGAGAATGATGGTTGGTGTATTCAAAGTTCCTGTCAAATATGAGGTAATTCACTTTTTGCAAGCTGAAGGACAAAGTGCAGCCTAAATCGGTCAAGTATGATTGCAATGTACAGAGAAAAGTTCACGAATGAAGGTTGTATGAGGGAATGGTGCCATAAATAATTTCAAAAGAACAACCAGATGTGCAAGTTGAAGATGGACAGGGAAGACTGCTCATTTGACAAAGTCATCAAAGCAATTTGTTAGAGTTGCTCTTTCACAATATTGAAACCATCTTGTGAATTTCCTGAAATTCTTCTACAAGATTGTGACTTTGACTCTAGGTTATCACAAGTTTTGTACTTGGCAATTCACAAACATCTCACAGAAGATCACAGAATGAAGCTAATGGGGTCAGCATTGCAATTTTTGCTGTTACAACACAGATAGCAACACTTTTCTGTACAAGATCATAACAGGTGATGAAACATGAGTTCACTTTGAGAACATGCAGACAAAGGAACAATCAAAATAGTGGATGCATATGACCTCATCAAACAAATCTAAGTAGTTTAAACCAATATTGTCAAACAAGAAGCTTATGGCTACAGTCTTTTGGGACTATACATGAATGTTGCTGATAGAGTTTATGGAGCAAGGTACAACCATTACTGCAGATGAATAGTGCAAAACCCTCAAAAATCTTTAATGGACAATTCAGAACAAGAACCAAGGCTCGTTGACCTCAGGCGATGTTTTGGTCCACAGCAATGCACACACTCACACAGCTGCACGCACAAAAGAATTGCTCCAACTGTTTGGATGGAAGGTGTTTGACTACCCATATTACAGTCTAGATCTTGCACCAAGCAACTATCACTTGTTTGAAAAAATTAAAATTTGGTTGAGGTTGCAGCAATTTGACAACAATGAAGAGCTGATATCCTTGGTGGCAACATTCTTCGAGGAAGTTATGCAGAAGATGACAAATGTCTGAATTTATATAGAAAATATATTGGAAAATAGTTTAGGTATGTATGCAACTTTTGTGTATAATATAGTTTTCCTTTCCTTTTTTTCATGCCTTCCAGAGGTTGATTTCCAAGTATCCCTTGTACTTTTAGCAAAACAAAAATAAATTTTGCTTTATTTATCCTTATTACTAAATATGAGAAAAGTTATTAAAAATTTATTAATGTAGAAAAACTGATTACATTGTTCAATAATTTCATAGCTCCATAATATCATTAAAATATATAAAAATCATAATATTGACAATTAGAACTAATTAGTTAGTTAATTATTCTAAAAAATCTTCAACCAGTAAGTCTTTAAATATAATGTTGTAAAAAAATTGCCATGCCTTAATTAAAACTGCCATGAAATGATGCTGCATATGAAGTCTGGCAATTAATGCAAACTGACTAATATCTGAGATGCATTTACTATTTTCTAATATGTGCAGCATTTATGATAGAAGCGTTCTTCAACATGTATCCTCATGTTGTGATATTGTAATGAAGTTTTTATTTTTCAGTACCATTCCACAAGCAGAATTTGGTTACTACTCCTTACAAACTAAGGTGCATCAATTTTTTTGCAACAGTGTGTACATAAATATGTATGATGATATTAGTAATAATGATAAAAACATTACTTACTTTGTTTCTGGAGGTTCTCCTATCAAAACTTCTTTTGGTTCAAATCTGGGTCTCAGAGGTGTTAATTCATTTATTTTTATATGTAACATATTTGAAACTAATGCTGATAACTGAAATTTAAACTCCACGCCATTTTTTCCATTCACAATATTTCCTTCTATTTTTGAAGCTGTTGTTTTTATTGTATTCATTTGTAAATAATAGGGAGATTGACCAGGTGTTAAATTACGATTTCTCCTGTAAAAATATGCTTTAATCAATAAACTTAAATATTAACCTGCTTGAATAAGAAAACTCTTAAACCATTATGTCAACATATAATTGCAGCAATTTTAATACATAGCATATTATGTTTACAGTATAAAACAATTATACTGTAAACTGAAACTAATGAAACTAAGAATTAGCTTATTTAATTTTGAATATAATCAAAACAATGCTCTGTTTATAAAGTAAAATTAAAAATATTAATTTGTACGAATATTCTTACTGATATATCAATTTTCTATTTAAGGTATACAGTTGAACCTGTCTATCTCAAATCTCGTGGAAACAAGGATAAAAATTTCAGATAGACAGATTTTGAGATATAGAGATTCCTACACAGTAAACAGTAATAGATTTGATTGGAAGTACAGTATTTTATTAATACAACAGCAAGTACAGTACAAATGTATAAATAAAACATTTTTCACAAACTATTTCTGTTCACATATGTCAATGGTTTCTAATATGTAACTGTCTTCAACCAATAACATGCAAGCCAAACCTATAGCCTTGTAGTAGCCAAGTGGAACACAAGTCATTAGTCATGGGTTTGCATCTGGCCAATGGATGGAGTTTTCCAAGTTTTCTTTATGTTTGCAACATCTGAACAGAGGCCAGTTTCCCATAGAAAATCCTCTTGGTAGTCATCCTCCCTCGACAGATCGCCAATGTGTTGCATTGTCATAAACAAATAAACCAAACCAAGCTTATAGCCAATCAGAAAAAACAGTGTTGATTGCAACTATGTACTTTATTGCAATAGATCCAGGGTGGCCAAGCTCCTTGATAGTCCGAGCCATTTTTCAAAATTTAAAATTTTTTGAGAGCCGCAATTAAATACGTATTAAAAAGGTATGCAAAAAATTCCAGATTACAAATTATATCCATAGCAAGAGTGATACAAATTGTTTCCTCCAGAGCACAATGTCAACTGTCCATTGCAATGACAGTTTACAAATTCAAAATCGGTATGGAGTCGGTCAATAACGGACGATTACGCTACTGTTTATGTTCGTTCGCGCAGTTTTCAATGAGTCATATCATTCTTAACTTGGACGGAAATGAAATTTGTTACAACGTTGCACTTAGTCTTTCATATTTGTTGTTAGTAATTTAAAAGACATTTTGAAACACATACGGAACGATAATAATTTTTTAAAATATAATAACACAAAAATGAAAAGAAAACTCGGGTACATTTATCGAGAGCCACAAATAATCCTTCAAAGAGCCGCATGTGGCTCACGAGCCGCAGGTTAGCCACCCCTGCAATAGATGTTTCTCAACTACAATTTATACTATCAAAATGTAGTTGTCAAGCTTTGAAATTGTAATTGACACTTCAGTCCATAATTTAAAACATACAGGTATTGGGAAAAAATTATTTGAGATAAACATGGAAAATATATTGAATTTAGGCTGAAAATCCAGGAAAAAATACAGAGGTTTTCTAAATAAACATGTTTGAGATACATTGAAAATACAAATGAAATTTCTTGTATTAATTTCATTTATAATTATGTAATTAATAGTGGTACTACTTAAAATATAATAAGTTCAAAAATGCATCTATAATATGTTTAAATAATGTAACACTAAATTAAGTATTCTATTAAGATTTATATCATTAAATAATTTATTGTGTTTTTTTATATACTTTTTAATGCATTTTATTTTAGGTTTTGCAATCTCTTCGGGAAGTTGCAATGCTGTTAATAGTGACATTGCTCCTTAAGAACTTGTATGGCATGTGATTACTTTTAGCATTCTGATTGTTTTGATGACAGAAGGTCATACAAAGTTAGAATAACCAATTCCAATGATTATCAAAGTTTATAAACAAAAAAAATACTCTCATTGAAAAAAGTTACACACCAAGAAAGGGGTGTTTGAATCAAATGAAATTTATTAGTGCAAACATAATAACAAGATTATAATATCATAGCAAATGGATAATTTAAAAAAAAATTTAGTACCTCACAGAACCTATTCTTTCCTGGATGCATATAGCAATAGTCTGTATGGAGGCATACAGACACTATATGCTATCCTGTATCTGTTGTAAATCTGTCATAGGATGCTACAGGAGGATCTGGAGCAATTGTTGCAACAGATGTTACAACAATTGCTCCAGATCCCTCAAACATGTAAATGATTAAAGCTGATGTTCCATCTATTCCTAGAAATGTTCAATAGTGGCAAATCTGGAAGCCATACAAGCCAAACAAGTATGGCATCTGACAGACATTCCCTAGCTGCATGTGGCCAAGAATCATCTTACTGGAAAATATTAATAGCTGCTTGTGACTTTGAAATAAAAAATAAAATACAAGGGTGCAGAATTTCTTGAATATACCATTGTGCCATTAATGTCAAGAGAGGTGGCAACTGTCTTATGAGATGGGAGCCATCTCCCTAGATCAGCACACCAGTAATGATGGCAGTGTGCTGCTCAACAGTAAAGGTAGAATTGAAGTACTCATCCACACACTAACATAATGATCATCTGTTCTCAAACAGAACAGGATTTGTTGCTAAAGACAATATACTGGTAGTCTATAGCAGTCCTTGCTTCTCTATCACAGCACCACTACAAACAAAATTGAAGATGTTGAGGTACTAATGGCAGGATATGTAGCAATTACCATGAATGCAAATTTGTCTCTTCTAATCACCTGTCAGTGATAACGCACCTATCTTAAATAGGAGACAGTGTTCTGTAGCAAGGCTCAGGATGGTGGACAAAGATGCTATTGCAGCTGTTTCTGCTTGTCATGATCAGACAATCATCTCTCCTGGTGGTCAGTCTGTGGTGTCTGAAGTCTGTGTCCTGACATAACAGAGATGTTAACTAACTGTAAGAGACTTTTAAGACCTGACTATAGAGATGGTGAGACAGACTGTCTCAACATTTCTACAGTCAGGTCATAAAAGTCCAGATAACAAGCAATTCAGAGAAAGGCCATTCTGCTACAATCAGCCTGATGCTTTCTCAGCTGTGTACTATCTTTGATTATAGTGTACAGATATGCCTGGCATTCAAAGACTCCAAACAAGAGATACACTAAAAATTTTGAACAGAATGAGAACCTTTGTAACCCTTTTTTATAGTATAGCAATTTTAAGGCATTCTGAAAGGAATTGCTCTGGATAATTTTTAAAAATTGCCAATTTGCCAGTTTTTAATTTTTTTCACCACTTCAAATTATTTATCACCATGAGTTTGACTTACTAATTAATGCAGGTTCTGAAAGCTTTATCAGTTTGGAAACTGGAAATCAAGAGGTTATTTAACTCTTGCTTTCCAATCTCATGTCAAGCTTAACATATTAAGCTGTCACAAATAGGAATCATTCCGAAAAATTTTTTAATGAACAATTCTGAAAACACATTTAATCACAACAGTATTTAAAATACTGTTTGATTCAATTAAAACAGTATTTTACATTTTCTGTCATGTCAAAATTTTTATGCTTTAGTCACTCCAAAAAAAAACTCCAAATTTTCTATCAGTCAATAAAAAATCCCCAATCTGTAAAATTCAACACTGGGTAGTGTGAGAATCAGAATTTTATTACTTAATTAGCATGAGAAATATATCTAGTTTCTCCATGTTGTTTATAAAAAAGGAAAACAAAGCTGTCACTTTTGTGTTGAAAGAAAAAAATTAACTTCCTTTCCCAGGATCTTATCTCCAAACTGAACTAGCCATCTGGATATATACCGCCCTGTACTGTACATCCTGTTTACGAATGAAAATCCTTTAACGCTATTGGTCAAAAATTATGATAAAAGGGGCCATTCGAGGCAGTCCACAGAAATTTGGAAAGTGCCATACGGATCACAGTCCTCCATAATTTGAAGGTGCCATAAATAACAGGCCACATCAGCAAGAGTTCCCTCACTCACATCCTCTTCCTCGAACCTTCTCCAAGAACATAGCAGACTTCGTTCAATGAGACGACTGATATTGAGACCTTCAGTCAAGGTAGTATGTTTAAGATATTGTAAACTCTCTCTCTCTCTCTCACATAAATAGATAGGGATTTAGAATCTCCTTGTATATTGATATTATATTTGTTTGTTTCTTATTAAAGTTTGTTTTTTGTTGATTTGAAAGGTCTCGTTAATGAACTCAGTTCTACGCTAAAGTCTTATCATGGATCTATGATCCCTTCCTCTCAGAAAGGTATATAAATTTTATCATTAGCTTGTCTAACACTCTAATTAAGCTGGTGTCAGGAAAAACTGACAGAAGGATCATAAGAACTTCCTGTCCCCCAATTCAAATACTACTAAAAACCTATCCTAGTGACTCTGCGAGCAGATCTGTCCGATCTGAAGCCGATCAGAGTGAGAAATGAAACTTTTGTCACCCTGATTTCCCACATATGCATTTCTTACCCACTGGATTCCCATAGTGGCATTGCATGAAAACTGTCTTTGGTTCTCAATATCACTTCTTGCTTTCCTGTTTGAATTTGCCGCATGATGTTATGACATTGCTAGGTGTATGGTGCATAGGACTCCCATCACACAGAAGCTTGACATTCTGCTGTTTTTCCTGAAATGTGCTTTGTGATTCAATTTTACACTGAATGTTGGAATAAGCAGACTAGGCTTTTTTTATCACCAGTATCATATTTTTTATTGCCAATTTAATGAAAATATTGCCCAGTGGTAATTTTGGCCCTATGCAGCATGACTCTGGAATCAAACCATGACTATAAATATTATATACTTGTCTGAGAGCTGTATGCTAAGTTTTGCAGTAGATCTAATCAGACAACTCTATTTGAACTTTTATTGGCTAACAAATACACAGTATTTTAATACTTTTTTTGTATTTTGTAAGACATTCCTCATATAAAACACTTGTAATTTTTATATCTTTTGAAAGCTAAAAACATACAAAAAATTGAAATGCACTTTAAATAAAAATATAATTGAACAATTTCATTTAATCACACCATACAAAAACCCAAAAATCTATAAACCTTTGCAAAAACTTGTGTGTTTCTGCAGCAAGAGGAAAAAAATGACATTTTGAGTTGCATTTCACTGTTGAGTTGTATTTGTTAATTGCATTTCACTTCATCATTTACATATTGGCACTTCCTGTTGAAAAAAATTTCCTGCAACTGCACTTGACAAATTCTTGCTTTTAATTAGTACCTGTTGTTAAAATGTTAAATTTCAGTTAAATTTCTTCCAAAATATCACTTATTTTCAGAAACTCTTCATCAGCAACCTTAAATTCATTGTGGACATACAATTTATCAATTATTTCTGATGACTTTCCAGCTGGTATATATTGTTTTTGTTCTTTTTCTATTACTACTGCCATGATGTTTATGGGTGCTATCTTCTCTCTCTTGAATTCTGGAATCTTGACCAGAATAATTCTAACTTATAGAGGGAAATTTTTATTTAATCTTTAACATTTATCTGCTTATCTTTTACAACAAACTTTTGAATTTTTCTGTGTTTCTCTTATATTATCAATCCTAGTACAGAGATTGCACTATGAATGATAATATCAAGATTCTTGTTGCAGCACGGGGAAGCAATATTATTCTTCTCCATCTCTCACCTGTTGAGCTGCTCTAACAAACTGTCTTCTGTAAGTCCCCATCTTCTGTTTCTGATAAGTCATTAAAATGAGTAGAGATAGTACAGTCAACCCCCCTATAATTACGGTCCCAATAATTACGATTCCTATAAAACTGCGAAAAAATTGTGACGGTATCCGTAAAAAAACAGTAAAAAACACCCTATAATTACGTTAAACGTCATCAGGCAGCCGAACTACTTTCCCGCCGTCCGTAGCGCCACACTACGGAGATACATAAACAGTGTCGTAATTCG